CTTAATTAAATTGATGACAAGTCAAATCTACCATAAAACATTCATAAACCTTCATATTTCATCATGTCACTCAAAAATCCATTTTCTTTAATCTCTAATATCTCATCAATAACTTAGTTTTAATCTCATTTAAACCTTCCTTTAGCTTCCATAATATATAAAGCTTGAATCCCTATAAAAAATCGAAGGAAATAACCATTAAATTGGAAACTTACCTTTGAGCTGAAGGGGAGAGTTTTCCACGACAAGAAGAGAAGAAGATGAAAGGGTTGACTTCATATTCCCCTCTTCATCTTATCTCTTATCTTAATTCCCCACTAATTGAATATTAAATTCAATTTAATCCAAATGACCAAAATATCCTTTTAATCATCCTTTCTTACAATTTAGTCTAAGCTATAATCCTATTCATCCTCGTCTTTCATTATTTAATTTAATAAATCCTCATATTTTTAATTCATTTTAATTTAATCCTTAAATAAATTTTTGGGGCATTACATATTCCCTCCCGAGTACTGATTGTACTAGTTGAACAAACCTCCTTTATAATCAACATCGACCAGATCTTAACATGAACAAATATTTTGGTGATGTTTAATTTATTCATGAATTAAAACAATATCTACTTATTTTAAGTCGATAGAGAAACATGCCACTTTAACAGTTGAGGTTAATTCGATCATCTTAGACTTCAACGTATTTTGGTTCTTTTAGAGTTCAGGGTTTTTTGATCATTTGAACATTGGAGGTTATTTTAGGTATTTTGTAGCTTGAAAAAATTTCGGTAATTCAAATCTATTAAAAAATATGTATCTTTTTTGGTAATGGTCAGATATACCCGTTCAACATTATTTTTTGCTTTTAGGGGTAATCTTGGTCTTTTAACAGTGCAAGGGCATTTTTCTTAAATTACGATTCAAGGGTATTCTAGACATTTCCTTTCGTCATGTCTTTCCATTTAATTCAAATTTTATGAATAAATCAAACATGAATAGCACTTCAAATATTTTAGTCTTTAGGTGTTTGCTGATAAATCAACAATTATAAGTCTTGTACCTTCTCAAATGTTAGGATCCGATTATCAGTGACTATCTGAGCAGATCGAGAATTTAACAGATGAAACAATGATTTATCGAATTAAAATACGAATTCACAAGGTACTTTCGCTCTCAGGTCAGTACGAGTCATTTTTACCTCATAGGGGCAATTTCATAGTTTTATACTTAAGTCATTTCAGTATTAAAGTATTTAGTTATGATAAATAGAATTTAGAGATTTTGAGGTTATTTGCTCTTCAGACAAATCATTTTACTTGAAATTATTTCTTATCAGTCTTCCAATTCCTTTATGTAATTCAATCGAGTCTTAACCAATTTATCACTTAAACCGTATTTGGTTCGAGTCTATCCATAACCAACCACGTATAATAGACCAATCATATACATCCATGCATTTATCCATTATCAACATGTTCCATAAAACATGCAAAGAGGTGGTAATGTATTACCTTAATTTTCGTTCTGCACTGATCAAACATTTAGACTCCATTCGATCATTCTCGAACTTGAATCTAACATCCAACCATATCTCGAATAAATATAAACATAAATTACATCATAAACGGGGCTTAATTGCGGAAAATAGATCGAATTGGAAGGTATAATGCTAAAAAATAGCTTACCGGGATTGAATTTAGGGAAACAAACTTAAGATTCGGACTCAGGATGTCGAAAAACAAAAAATATTACTTTTTGGAAATTTTAACTTTTTGGTCAAAGTCAATGGTCACCTATAGTCAAAGTCAACGGGTCGGGTCAAAGTCAACGGGTCTGTTTGGGTTGACTCGGTTCGGGTCAAACAGACCAGGTTGGGCAGGTTCGGTCCACCTAAATCGGTTTCAGAAGGTTTCTTTAGCTAGAAAAAGGTCCCACACACACTGTCGGTGCGTGACGGTGCGTGCGACCGTGGTAGGGCTAATTTTAACGGTCTGAATACTTTCGGTTTCAACACTCGCCAAAATCGATCCAAATCAACATCAACATTCAGCCAAAATCCATCAGAAATAAAAGAAAATGGACGAAAGCTTACCCACACCGGCGATCGATGAAAACAACTAACGATGGGCGATGAACCCGGTCGAGTTTTAGTCACACAGAGTTGGGAAATCCGGTGGTGTAAGGGATAAGGCAAGGGGATAAGCGAGGATACTGAATTTCATGAAAAACCAAGCGGCATAGCTAGTGATTCAACAGAGCTTGATCGGCTTTTATACGTCGTTTGGTGGCCGATCCAGGAACGAGGGTTGAGGGGTTTTGGTCGTCGGCTACTGGTGAGTCGAGCGGCAGTTACGTCGCACTGAACGACGACCAGATTGAGTGATAGGATGCTTGGTTTAGGGTTTGAGATATCACAGGGGAAATGGGGTTTCTATTTTTTTTAATGGAATTTAAGATCCCAACTAGATGACTTTAAGAAATATTTTTAATAAAACATTTCATATATAATGACCTAATCTAATGGTAGAAGCATGGTTTGCTATACTAGGGTTACTTGTTCAACACCCAACAACCACACAATTTGAACTTTTATTTTTACCAATACGGGAAGATGGGCAAAATTAAGGTTTAAGTCCCTGCACTTTCTTAAATACATCAATACAATCTATTATTTCAAAAACTCACATTTTAGTCCTCAAATTAATATACTTCAATCCAATAATCAAAAATTAATATTTTTAGGGTGTGACACCAATGGTTTCCTTTTCTTTAGGACTTAGTTATATCTTTATTTAATGCATTAAAAAAAGTGATCCCTTTTGTAATAATAAAAAAAGTTATAGACTAATCTAATATTATTTATTTATTAATTTATTAGTATTATTCATATTATTATTGATTTATTAATTAATTTATTTTCTTTTCTCACACTTATTTATTATAATATGGACAAGTTCAAAGAATGTTATTTTCAGCAATCAAAATATTGATATTTTGCCAAATCGAAGTTCAAGGTAAAAATTATAATTTATTTTTTAATAATAAAATATATTCTATATGATATTTTAAAATAACTTTTAAAAATCTAATCTAATTTATTTTTTGTATTTAAATGTAGGTGTGAAAGAATTTATGGATCGTCGTGATGGATTTTAATTTATTTGTATTTCTAGAAAATGACTTTATGCTTTTAGTAAATTTTATTCTAAACATTTTATGTTTATTCTAATAATATTCCATATTAATTTTATTATTATAAGATTTTAAATATATTGTTAGTTATCATAACAAATTTTAACTAATCTTATTTTATAACATAAATAAATTATAACATAAATTATTTTTGCAACATTGACAAATTACGATAAATTTATTTAGTCAGAATAACATATTAAATTTAGTTTAAATAAAAACATATTTCAAATTTATTTATTTGCAATATTTTCTCATAATAATAAATTATGACAAATTTATTTTGTCATAATAACAATTTAAACACATATTAATTTATCAATATAAAATTATGAAAAATAATATTATTTCACAATAATAAGTTGTAAAAATTATTTAGTCGTAGTAACATATTAAATTTAGTCAAAATAAGTAATTAAGTAAAATTTATCTCGTCACGAAATAAAAGTAATGAGAAATTAAATTTTACTGTAACATGCCTTTTTGTAACGAAAGCCTTTTTTATTCTATGTTATAATTTAAGTTAATTGTGACAAAATTTATTTTTGTGATAAAATAAATATTCACTATAACAAAACAGATTTGTAGCAGCGGTTGTAGTGGCGATTTTAGAGAAAACATCATTAATATTTTACATATAGTGGCATTTTTTAGACAAACGCTGCGATATCCTAATATATAGCAGCGTTTTTAGGAAAACACTGCTAGAAACACATACTTTAGTGACGTTTGGTTGATAAACGCCGCAATTGCGACTACACCAAGTTTGATATATAGGAGCCTTTTTGCAGTGTTTTGTTACAAACGCTGGTAATTGTATACCTATGGTGGCGTTTTGAAAATAAACGCCACAAGATAAAAATATTTCATGGCGTTTCTTTGTAAGTGTCGCAATAGCCATGTACCTATAGTGGTGTTTTTAGTAAAACCGCCAAAATAGACTGATATATAGTGGCATTTTTACAAAAACGCCGCTAAATAACCACTACAGTGAAACATGTATGTAGCTGTGCTTATAGCGACGCTCTAATCTAAATGCCACTAATTTTATATATCTCGCGATGTTTGGGGGCAAAATGCCACTATATGTTAACATTAACAACGTTTTTGATAAAACACTGCTAAAACGCCGCAAAAGAAACATACTTTACTGGTGTTTTTCATTAAACGCCGCAATTTATCAGTTCATTAGCGGCGTTTGTATTTACAAACACTGCAAGTTTTGCGTTTCTAACCTTTAACCCTACTTTTTCATTTTTTTCCCCTTCACCTATTTTGCTGCTTCTTCTTCGCCGTTTACGAAACCCTCACCAATTTATCAATTCATTTTTCCCCGCTGTTTACCCAAACACATCTGCTGCTTCTTCGTCGTTTACCAAACCGTCACCACCAGGGTTTCAAATCACGGTCGCGGCCGAGTTTTCGGTTATTTCGGATTTACCGTGATTGCGGCCGTCGCGGGCGCTATTGCGATCGTCGTGGACGCTATTGCGGCCGTCGCGGGTAACTCGGACAGCGGCGAAACCGCTATATCGCGGATCGTTTTTTGAAATCCTGGTCACCACACCCTCACCTATTCTCTCAACGCCTTCTTCGGCCCCGAAGTCCACTCCTTCTCGGACTGGCAGAGCTCCATCGTCTTCTCCGTATACTCTCAAAGCCTTCTTCACCCTTTTTCCTCATGCCTTCTCTACTCATGGGTATCAAGTGTTCTGATGCAAAGAAATCTTCTTGATTCTATTTCGGGAATAATAGGTGTGTAACTTTTTGAAGAAAACAAGTTTAACAACTTTTGTTTATGCAAATGGGGTTAAGCAACAAGCCGACGTGCTTGGTCAACTCAACAGTGCTGATGGTTTGAGGTAATTACTTGACTCTGCTTTTGGTGATTTAGTTTGTCTTCATATTTTTGTTTTGTATGTATATGCCATTAGGTGGATAACCTTTGGATTTGGTGCAGAACCCGACTGGTAGAGATAATCTTGGACGAGCTAACTTACCACAGAAAAGTACTTCCCTCATTTCTTCAGGTTGTCATTTATATATAACTACAAACACATACAATTTCAACTCAGAATATGTATCTGGTCATAAAAAATATCTTTTATTTGGTGGAGATAATATCCTGGGTATGTGGCAACAAACAAGTTCTACCTCTGATCTGGTCGATTCACATAGGCATCCCCTTGTCCTTTGACCATACTATTTGCTTAAATGTATGTTGCTTTTGAATTTTGACGGTAGGACTTCATTACCATGATCATTGTCAAACATTACTTCATCAGTTTTTCAATTTTAGTTTTTCCAGACTTCAACTAATCTTCTGGAAACTATGTTTACATCCTTTCTGATTGGATATTTTTCATATTAACATATCCCAGACTCGGCATTTGTTTCAGATTATATAAAATTTTATGTGAACCTATGTTTGATAACTACACTTTGATCTTTTAGGACCTAGTAAAGGATTCCTCTTCAAATTTTAGATTTTTGCTCCTATTGACGTATTACATGATTGGCATTTCCAACCATGCATACACTTTTTTTAGGTATTTAATGACCCTAAATGGAAGCTTGAAATCATCGTGCAGTATTTATTAAAATACACTAAGGTTAGTTATTAAGTTATTGTAAATGGTTGCCAACGATCTGTATTGCAAATTTTAGTGTTTCTGCAAATTGTGATACAAAGTCGGTGCCAATATCTAATTTAGATAAATCTTATTTTGTAATGCAGCTGTCTGTTCGCACTCGTAGATCAAATGGTCCTTCGGAAGATTTTCCATTTCTTGGAACTTTGAAGTCCTTTTCAGATAGCAGCAGCACTAGAAACATTATAAAAAAACTTATTGTGGAAGTTGTTCAATTTCTTTTGTCGCATGCATTTCTTGTGAGCATTCTCTTTATTTGTTAAAGCCGATGCTATTCACTTCTTTGAATAATTATTTTAATTGCAAGTAGAGTTAGTTCATATGAGTATCTGTTGTTGTTTTGATTTGTCTTCCAGAGCAAAGCCAAAAAAAAAAAAAAATGTTATATTGTTGCTAGTGCTTATAAGGATGGTTTTTCTAATTGTCGTGTGTTGCGTTTTTTTTTGCTATGGTTCCTTATTCAAAATGTTCATTCATATCATATAATAAAGATTCGAGAAATTTAATCAGAATTATCTTCATAGAAAAGTGCTATGCATTATGGTTATAATCTTTTAGATAAAGACATGAGAGGTTGAAATAACTGTGAATCTAAATTGAAGTTTTTTAGCTTCAATTTTGATTCATTCTTCTGGTGTTATTAACCTGAAAATTTCAAGGTTATTATAGAGCAACGATTACTACCACAAAACCGGTACGAAGTTAATCTCTGTAATTTTTTCCCGTGTTTGATTTTGTTAGATCTTATGATTTTTGTTCCAGGCCTATACATCCATGGCATCTCAGCAGCATCTTTCCACCATACCGCGGATCGCAATGAAGCTGTAACAAACAGCTTGTCTCTCATGGAAATATCTAAGAACGTAACTGTTGCTTTCAATAGTCTAAGAAAAGTAGATGAGTAAGCTTTTTTTTTATCTCACTGTATTTTTCCTGTGTATTTATTACTTCTCCATATTCTGCTATACCTGCAATTCAAGTACATGTTAGGCGCAAGATGATCATCTCGGCTCGAGCTAACATATCGATTTTGCTTCGTAGTATGTATTAATCAAGTGCATTTGTACATCTCGTCCTGTAAGAAAATGTTATACAGCTCAGTTGGTAGAGCACAAGACTCTTAACCTTGGGGTCGTGGGATCGAGTTCCAGCCTACTATCCTACCTCCCCTTACCCCATTATATATGGAAATAAGGATCAGCTAATTTATCTCTCGGAAAGAAGCACTATTTACAGTAGGAATGATGATTTCAATTTTATAGGCCTAGGTCAAGAGAAGGATGCGGCTAATTTTTGGTTCCAAAAGGTTCGCATTACTGAATGTATAACTTATTTGCTTGGATATCTTGAATGTAAAATGACGTATTTCATTTAACTTATTTATCTGTACCCGGCACATGTCATCCAACATTTGCAATTCTAACCTTTGGAAGGACCGCGGCCAGAAAAAAACCCGAAAATCGATTCGAGTTGTAGTGTTCCATTTGAGTTTATTAAATTTGGTTTAGTTTTGATTTGGTCCCATTTTTAAACTTGTTTCCTTCGGTTTTTAATTCACAAGTTAAAAACCATTATTATTCGGTTTGAATTAAATCAAATTTTATTTAAATTTACATAGTCAATAGCGGAGTTTTACATTCACAAACGCCACTATATGTCATTATATTTAGCGGCGTTTTTAAAAAACGATGCTAAATATCATAACCTTTTGTGGCGTTTGTTTCAGCAACACTTTTTACGCCTTTTTTTGTGTACAAGGGTTTTAGCGACGCTTAAAAACACCGCTACATGTATGAAAAAGTCGCTAAAAACATGTTTTGCTGTAGTTATTTTAATTTAACAAATATGTTATTTCTGTAAATTATATTTACTGGCGAAATATAAATAATGAGAAATTATTTTTAATTGCAATATGTATTTTTTCACAAAAACTCTCCACGTTTGATGTTAAAATACAAATTAATTATGACAAAACGTAATTTTTATGATCAAATAGTTAATTGATTGTGAAAAATACTGTCATAATAAGTTAATTATAGTAACTAAATTTCATTGTTACAATAAATAATATAAAATGATAGCAAACACAATTTCGTCACAATATACTTTACATGATAAAATTATTCTAACAAATATAGTATTAAATAAAAATTATTAAAATAAATATATCGTGATAAATTTATTACTTTTAGTTATAAATAATTTTATTATAACAATATAAATTTCTTCTGATAATACGAACCACTATATGTGAACTTGAAAAAGTATAAAAACCCATGCATCAAATGGAAAAGAGCACACATATCATGTTTGGGTTTACCAACAAGCGTCCAAATAGGTGGTGGTTGTTTAATATTGCCTCCATCGAGGAAGAGGGCAGTGGAGCTGCTGTTTGTTTTTGATGGAGGGATGAAGAGGAGGTCTTGAGTCTTGACCAGAAACTTCATAACCATTAATGTTCATAAAACGAGACCGGAGACCTAAACCATAAAAAACTCGAGGACAAAGGCCATTTTTTTTTGTATGGGGAGGGGCAAGGTGGGGACCCTAACCGAGGAGACTGGTGATCAAATTCTAGAGATAAGAGAGAATTTTCTCTCTCTAGAAGCCATTTCACTCGGTATAATTTAATTATTGAAAAGTTGATATTTTGTTATAGGAAACACACCACGTTATGGTGATTAGATGGGTATAGGTAGATAAGGGTTTACTAACCTGCATCAGTGTCCGTGCATGAACATGATATTTTTATAATGATGAAACTATTTATCTATTTTGCTAGAATAATATAAACATAATTTTCTATGATATGCTATTCTTCGTGGATTACTTGTTATAAATATTTTGTTCATGATTTCGATTTGTTGCTTACTTGTTCATACCACACTAAACTTCTAGCTCATCTCTTTTCTTTTTCCTTCCTTTTCAGATTACTCAAGAAGGTGGGACCAATTTGATTTTTGAAGGATCCGAGTCTCTAATTCTATTATCTTTAAGTATTTTTTTAATTATTTTTTGGATTGTGATATGAGTTTATTTTTATTACTTCTTTTTTTGGTATAATACAATTTAGGTTAGAGGTGACTCTCTCAGTCTAAGATTAGGGCATACCTAAGACTCAATTGAGATTTACATATGAATTTATAGATTGCGCACTATGAGTGACGGTGGTAGAATTCGAACTTGACCTTATAAACTCAAATTCATGAATCTCAACTACTTCTTAATTGTCAGTGTATTTCATTATTTTCATAATTCACATAGTTTGGACAATATTTTTTACAACTAAACCAATCTAAAACTCTTAATTATCATTATTCAGATTTTAAATAAAAGGATTATATAAAAAATAATATTTATGATTGATTTAGACTTTTGAACTATTTTCAGAGGGTTAACTTAACGATCAATATCAAGACTGATGTTCAATTTTAACGTTTAGATTAAATGTTGGATGTTTCTATTATTATATTAAAATCATTTATAAGTTTTCCATTAACTACTAGAGTAGAACTTAAATACGATTGAATGAACAAATAAGATATTATCTATTAATTTAATATGTCACATCATCCCCTCGACGATCAATAAAGACATAATGCCTATTTTATAGCAAAATGTAAATTTTAATATTTTTTATTACTTTTAAAATTTTAATATCTAAAGTCAAAAATTTCTAGAACAGATTGCTAAAGCTTTTAGTTGACATCTTTCATTTCCATTAATTTGTGGGTTCAATATTTATTAGGAATATAATTTCTCTCTTCTTCCCCCATATAGAAATTGTTCAAAAAAATATTGCAATGTATAAAAAATAATTTTACTATAATTTAATTATAGTTTTTTAAATTTTAACTAAAATTTAATTAAATTAATTAAAAATATATAAAAAATACTATTTTATAATAACTTTATAAAGATTATCATATTTTAAAATTTTATCTAAAATTTAATTAAATTTGGATCGAATATAAATACATCATTTTCTTCTTGATTAGTGGTTAAGGCTTTAAGCAAGCTGATCTGGCATCCAACAAGGAGGCGCTACCCGTTTTTACTCCCACGTCACACGCGCAAAAACATACTAAAATCACATTATCTTTTTTTTAAGGTAAATACATCATTTCTTATTCTCTCATATTTTATTCATCGTAATTTTATTTTTTTAATATATTTATTAAACTTTTAAATTGTTTTTACATTTGATTAGTTTGAATTATTTTATTATTAATTTTGTATGACATATTTTTTAATATTATTTAGGCATAATGCAAAAACAATACCCTTAACGTTTGATAATATATGTAATTTTGCCCCTGTTGTTTTTTTTTAGAACATTTGACCCCTCAACGTTTCATTTTGGGTCCAAAAGCACCATCGTTGGAGGAAAATCGTTATTCAACTGACGGTCAATGCCTGAAGCTGACTCAACAAGAACATGTGGAGGGAGATAATAACGTGACATGTCCATATCATAGTAGATGATGATGTGGCAGATCCACGTAGACTAAATGCTGACGTGAAATGTACATGTGTGATGTCACATCAGTAATTTTTTAAAAATAAATAATTAATAATAAATTATTATTTTTACTAAATTATTAGCAACCAATAAGATTTTGCCACATGGCACATGGATTTTTTTATTAAATTAAGAAAGGAGGAATTGAACCTCCACAAAATTTTGTAACCCATAGATTTAAACCTAGGTTTAAGGGATAAAAGGCTTGACATCTAACCACTAGGCCAAATCACTTGGTTGGTATTATTAGGCAAATAACATTATTTAAGGTATACTGTAGCCAATAAAACCACCACTAACACAAGCACTTTTTATTAAAAAAAATTATAGTTAGATTTAAATTGTTAGAATTATTTGAGTCAATTTAAATTCATATTTAAATTATAGTGATTTTTACCGTTAATTGTTTTCCCTTTTGATTTATACTCGAGTAATTTCTTCTGATTTACAGCCAATTACATTTTTAAGGTTTCTACCAAAAAAATAGTAAAGTTATTGACCAATTTTACTTGCAGCATTACAACAAATAAAAAAATTCTGATAATATATATGAAGAGAATTAAAGGTAAAATGACAAATTTCATATCAATTTGGAAGTGCCC